ACAGACAATATCAATTACAGTATTGACAGTTAATTTCTTCCTAACTTCAATTTTATGCTTCTTATTATTTCTGTAAACTTCTTTTTCTTTTTGCCCTCAGTTTTCTCAAACCTATAAATGTTCTCAACAGCATTAGTTGTGTATTCGTTGAATAGTATGTAACAAAAATAAAAGAAAAAAAGCTGTGTATTTTATAAATCAAAAATTATTTTTCATTACCAATACCTCTGATGAAGAAAAAGCAAAAAAAAGGAAGGAAAAAGTTTGCTGTAAACAAAATCAATTTCAACTGTAATAATTAAATGAAAAATATAGCAAAACAAAAATAAATACAGTTGATAATTCTATCAGATATCAACAAGTTGTAAATTTTCTACCTATTTGTTATTATTGTCGTTGTCGACTAATTTAGGCAGTATTGACAGTTAATTTCTTTCTAACTTCAATTTTATGCTTTTTTTTTTTTAATTTAGTTTATTAGTCAACCAGTAAAGTGTTTTTTGTTTTTCATTGATAATTGTAATAGTTTAATCGCAAAACAGATTATTATTATAACGTTTAGTTAACAATTGAATTCTATTAGAAGTAAATATGCAGAAACAACAAAATATGGCGCTTTCATTAACTCCGTACTATACCGTTGGCGTAAAATTTGGCAAAAAAAATTTTTGAATAATATATTGAACAAAAAATTTATATTCTTTTTTATAGAAATGTAAAATAAAAATGTGTATTATTTTACCGGAAACAAACGAGCAAAATGGCAACAACAAAAAAAAATTTACAAGGCACTCAGTCGGCCAGTAAAATAATTTAGAAATTTCTTATCAACCTGACCACTTATTTATGTAATTGATACAGACTTTATTCCTTCTTATAGTTATCGTTACGGTTTGTCTCAATAAAACTATGTCAAAGAAAGCGCAAAAAGAAGAAGAAAAAAAAAACATTAAACATGCAATACAGATGTGTGCATAACTAACTCTCCTATAAGTTTGTTTTGCAATATGCTAACAAAAATCATTGAACCAATCAAATACCAAAAATTTTATAATAGATAAGCGGTATAGTACATAATTAACTGCAGACTTTTTCAACTTTACCCTTTTCTCTACTGTTTTACAAAAAAAAAAACTACAAAGCATCATTTTTTTTCCTCCTTATAATTATTTGAAAATCACGTGATACTGAGTGCATGACAGCTTCCGATAATAAAACTCTTTTTTTTCTTGTCTTTTTTCTAGTCTAAATGCTACTAGCACTGTTCTGGTAACAAATTGATAATTCCAAAAAATGTCAGCTAAATATAGCAGCAATAATGACAACAACAACGATAATAGAAACAATGACAATAATTTAGTTAATGGCTACCGTTCATTAGCTCTGATCATCCGTTTTTCAATTTCACATATACCAACTTTTTTCCATTTATTCTCTTCTCTTTTTTTTCTACTTTTTTTTTTTCAACTCCAAACATTTGCAGCATTAAAAAAAAAAA